TGCATATATACGTGGGCTTTGCTTTGGTATAACAAGTGCCAAAGCATACAACTCGTCTTTTTTTTTCTTTCACAATTCTTCGTATTCCTTTACATGGCAAAGCAATTGCCCCCAAACAAAGCAAATTAATTAATTTCCCCCCAAATTGGAAATGCTCCTTCACCATAGGCAACATTTTACAGGGTTTTGCAGATCTTATTTCTACACCCCATTCTATTTGACCCTGATTATTCATGCAAGAACATAAATTTACCATTACTATTTTTATAGACTAAAATGCATTTAATTATCTTGGGACATTAGTTTTCTCTCTCTACTTTTATTTTTCAAAAGTTCCTTGGCCTTTCTTATATGCTTATTTTTCCCTTATAAATTTTACAGTAACAGTATTGGGACAATTTGGTATAGGCACCTCTTTTTTTATGTTTCTAAGTCTGGTGTTCTATGCAGAACTTTTTTTTTTTTTTTTTAGATTATTTATTTATTTATTTGAGAGAGAGAATGAGAGACAGAGAGCACGAGAGGGAAGAGGGTCAGAGGGAGAAGCAGACCCCCCGCTGAGCAGGGAGCCCGATGTGGGACTCGATCCCGGGACTCCAGGATCATGACCTGAGCCAAAGGCAGTTGCTTAACCAACTGAGCCACCCAGGCGCCCTCTATGCAGAACTTTTATAGTTAGGTGTGTCTACAGATTTCGTCTTTTTAAAAAATCTTTTAAAAATTTTATTTAAATTCAAGTTAGTTAACATATAGTGCTTTATGAGTTTCAGGGGTAGAATTTAGTGATTCATCAGTTGCATAGAACACCCAGTGCTCATCACATCAAGTGCCCTCCTTAGTGCCCATCACCCAGTTATCCCTTCCCCCCCCTTCCCCTCCAGCAACCCTCAGTTTGTTCCCTATTGTTAAGAGTCTCTTATCGTCTATGGTCTTTTTGACTTTTGTAAGTGCAGTATTTTAATCTTTTGTTTCCACCATAATGTTTAATTAATTGTTATTTGCATCTAGGAAATATATTGATTGTTTTGATATTATTTTTGTGTCCATCCACTGCCCCCCTCATTAAGTTATTTTATTGTTTATATTTTCAATTGATTCTCTTGAGTTTTCCAGTGTACAGTCATAATATCTGGAAAAAAAAATCTTAAGTTTTCCACCTGCTTTCCAATTTTCACTTCTTTCTCTTTTCAACTACATTAACTAGTACTTAGAGATCAATGTTAACTAAAAGTGGAGTTAATGTGCTGTCCTGTCTTATTTTTGACTACAACAGAAATGCTTCTAGGGTTTCACAATTTGAGTATTGCGCTGGCTTTCAGTCTGATGTCTCTTCGTCTTTCCTTATAAAAAATTATTTTACACCAGTTTTGGGGGCGCCTGGGTGGCTCAGTTGTTAAGCGTCTACCTTCGGCTCAGGTCATGGTCCCAGAGTCCTGGGATCGAGCCCCGCATCGGGCTCCCTGCTCAGTGGGAAGCCTGCTTCTCCCTCTCCCACTCCCCCTGCTTGTGTTCCCTCTCTCACTGTGTCTCTCTCTGTCAAATAAATAAAATCTTTAAAAAAAAAAAATATTTTACACCAGTTCTTCCATGAGGACATGATTTCAACCTCTTCTAGAAGAATATTACCTGTGTGCAATTTCAATCTGTGGATTAAAGTCTTAATTTCAGGAAAGTCTTCTATTATATATTTTGTGGGGTTTTTTGTTGTTGTTATTTGTTTTTTCTGGTCCTATCTTCAAGAACACCAGAGTTTCATGGAGTGATCTTCCTTGCTTGTTTCCATATCCATCATTTTTTTAAAAAATTAGTTTACTTGGGTGTTCTCAAATTGTTCTCTATATCACAGACTCCTCTTCACAAGATATTTTTCCACTTTTTATTGCTTCTAATGTAAATTCCATTTCTTTTCCTTGTTTCTAATTCCCCTCCATTTCTTTTTTGGCGCCCTGCCAAATCACTCATTCAATTAATGAGTTAAGCTCATTCAATTTTCTTAGCTCCTCATTCTGCTTTTGGTTCAGAAACACCATATTTCCTTTACTGTCTCTGATTTCTTGGAGAACTGCTTGTCCTTACTTTCGTATCAACTCTTGGCCTGGGGCAATACTCTACTTAAGCTTGGCTGAAATTCACTGGTTCATAGGGAAGCCCCCTGTGTCACGGTGTGTATGTGTAGTGATTTAGAATTCTCGTCCACTGGTCATCAAACTTTAATCCCTCAATCCATCAAACTGGCAGTCCTTTCTTGGCAGTAATGGCATAGTGAGTTTCTTGTTCAGTTTTGCCTATTATGCCATCTGTTTTCAAACAAACTCAAAGATGCTTCAGCAGCCCTTTCTTTTAACACAGATCATGCCATACTAAGGAGATGTCATTGGCTTGGCCCTCACAAAGTTCAGCCTACTCAGAGATTTTGAGTATTTACAAAAGGTGCAAAGACATAACACCCTTCTAAGTTTCTTCCTTTGGTTAGGTTTAATTTTGCCACATTCTCTAAATCTCTGTCATTTATGGTTTGAGACTGTGACTGTTTCCTATTGTCATGAAATAACAGACTTTTCATTTGTATTTTTCATTATTATTGATTTTCATGTTTGAAAGCAAAAAGAAGGCCAGATTTATCATCTGAAACTTGGAAGTTCTAGCAGTAATTCTGCTACAGTTATATTTATTTTCCTATGAACTGCTTCCCTAAGATTCTTAGGTTTATTTAGCTAAATTAATTTTGTCACTCTAACAGATGTTTTTAGCCTTATTAAATGATTATTTTATCCTCTGACATGACAAAATTGTTTCTGAATCTGATATAAGGTGAAAGACTTAAATTTGATCATCAAGTCTGTGCTCTGTGGCCCTCTGCTTTGTTGGTGTTAACTATTTACTCTTTATTTCACTAGCTTCAATGATGTGGTGCAACGTTTGAGCAAAACCTAGGTCAAAGTACCTGATTCTTATCTCCTCTTCACTAAGACTTTAACTGTCTTAATCATATGTATTTATCCATATATATTCTTATGTATAATTCTTACATGCAAGAAATATTAATAACCAATTTAAATTTAACCTATACCCTAATAAGTTATATTAGGATATTTCTAATAGAATATAAGAACTTGACAAATGATCTACAAATTTTTAAATGTGTTTGCTTATTTCAAACAATCAAATGGGAATATTAGGCTCTATGGCTCTATGCAGTGGGAGGTACTATCCTAATTACACTTTTAATTGAGTGGTCAACATTAAATTAAATGTCTACAGCATGTTAACTTGGTGACAGCAGGATACAACTCAAGTTGCCTTGGAGGTTCATTTAATTACTTGGTGAGAGCCAAGTAACTAATATAACTATAATATTTCAAGAAAAGAAATGAGGAAATCAGCTGAATAAGGACAGTCAGAAAAGAGTAAAACAGGGATTGAAATGAAAACTCACATGATACAGAATCAGAGGTGAACATACGTACATACGCATACTCTTAAGGAGTTATAGGGAACCTGGAAGATGAAGGCAGGAGATCAAGCAACCACTAATGAGACCAAGAAAGGAGTTGGACTGATGTCACTAGATGAAGAAAAAGCAGATTACTGTGTGGCCGAGAGAAAACACAACTGTGTAAGTACAAAGAGGGGAGGGACTAGCACATATCCTAAAAATGGCGACCAGAGCAACACTATGCTGAGAAAAATTATTGTCTAGATATATCAATTGTTTATTTGTTCACTCATTTCTTTAAACTATATCCTGTACTAAAAAGGCTTTTAGCCAGCTTTCAAAATCCATGGATGGCAAAATCACTAGGTAAGAATGAGTGAAAGGAAATCATGGTAAGAAAAAGATGAAGACAGTGGGGTATGTCGGTGAGCAACACACTTGCCCCACAGTCCTATTCATGCTCCCAGGAGCCAAAGCAAACAGGAACAGGTGATCCGTTACAAGGTTTCCAGGACCATAAGGAAAGCAACCCAGCTGCTCACCAGGAGCACACGGGTTGAGGCTTCAGTGAAATTTATCTTATGTGTTTTTAATCAAGAGAACAGACTGCATGATGGAGTAGATGACACTTTTAATGTCATTTTTACAATAAAGATGATATAAAATTCTGAGTGATGTTACCATAATTTCACTCAGTTCAGTCCAAACCATAACTGCATAAATAGTACCAAAAAAGCAATTATGCAAATGATCCAGATAAGACACTCCCAGATGGTCTGGCTTATCCAAGAGCAAAATTTAGAATATCCAGAGAACATCATATCCTTTAGATAATCCTCAATGAATAATCCTCAATGAATATTTTCACAACAAATAAATCACACATGAGAAAGCCTTTCATAACATAGTCATCATTTACCCAGAGATCATTTGACATATAATTTGTCTAGAACATGCAGCCAATTAATTACATGTTTTCTAAACTAGGCTACTCATGATTAAATAATGTCTACTTACCTTAGTTTCTTCTGGTTCCCCTTTTTCCCTCTAGGGAGATTTATTCCATTTTATAAAATGTGAATTATTCTTAGGTATAGCTCCCTGGGTGGTTGTTTAGATTTTTTGTATAGGGTAATTCTGAAAATGTTATAAACTTGGAGAGATTACAAGTGTGCTTTATTCTCACTAAAATAAGTATCTGAATTCAAAATCCCCAAACTGTACCTTCTAAGTAAGTTTTCTTTTTCCCCCATTGTAGGTGGAAACAGCACGACTGACCTAAAAAAGTAGTAATACCTCATGGAGAAGAGCTCATGATAGATCTTTGACAGGAACATTTAAATGAACTCTAGGAGTAGAGGGCCTAAACATGAGCAAAACAGATAATGTCAGGAAACCCACAAAAGCTTAAGTGCCTTAAAATAGAACATGTTATACTTGGGGGTAGCTCATTCTAGGTTGTGCACATGTGAATCTCGGGACTTAGTACAGCAGAGCCTTAAGTACTTTCTAGCCCATGGCCTTGACAGAGAGCCACCCCCAGTTAATGGTTATAAAATGTTACCTCAAATCAGCAGCCTTCCCCGTCTTGTTAGTACACATAACCTCTCTGGTCTGATATCCAATCTGGATGTCCCAATATTTATTCTCTTGTCGGTTCTGTCTGTTTCTGTTTCTCTTTTTCTTAATAAGTTCCCGGGCTTCTGGATCCTTCACTCCTTTTCCTCGGTCCTTTTCCCGTTCTTTATTCTTCCCACGTCTCCTTGCTTGTCTTACTTGTCTCGAATGGGGCATCGAGCACGAGCTCCAGGGACCCACATGCAAGCTGTACATGCTCTCTTCATCTTCGCAGGGGCTGGACTGGCACACCTGAAACTCCGTCAAGTTTGGGCAGCCGGAACCTCCAAACTGGGGGGGTGCTACCACGTGACGCGTCCGGTGCTGGAGCCCGCTGCCACACGTCTTGGAGCATTCGGACCAGGCAGAAAACTCAGACACAATGCAGTCTTGCTGGCAGGGGATGAGACAGGCCTGTTCCAGGAGAGGTTTGGGCTCGAAGTACTCACAAATGATATCCTCTGCAGGAATGTCCTTCTCTTTCTGGATGCATGTTATCTCTCTCACCTGAATGCCTTCCTCCCCCTTAATGCACTCAAGGGGTTTCTCCAGGCTTTTTGAAATCACAGGCTGACACTGATTCCAAGGTCCCAGGCTCCAGTCATACAACTCTTTGTGCCAGTCACACACTTTGAAACAGATCTGCTGGTTACTGGGTCTCTCGGCCGGCTTACAGTTTGTATGTAATGTCGTCCAGCCTTCCACATGAGCACACCACACAGCCCGGGTCTGAATGCCTCCTGGCCCACATTCATCTCCCATGCATCGGCCCCATGGACCTGAAAATGATACAAGAGTTAACAGTGCCACTAGAAGAAAACCATAAGTTACTTCACTTTCCAGAAAGGCATTTCAAGATCTAGTACATTAACTTCCCTGAAGTGTTATAAAGTAGGTCTCTGCACATGAGTGTCAGAAAGTAATGATCTGTACTCGGTATTTTTGCAAAAGGATAAGTGTGTCAGAGGGTCTATATAAGGTAACTGCTGGGACAAGTTCACTTTGGGTCCTTGTGGGATTAAAAGTTTGCTTTTTTCATTTTCTTAATTTTAGATAGAGAACCCTTGCTCAGAAAGGACATCAGAAATTAGCAACAGTGAAAACACATCACCCCTGCCTTGTAACCATCGGATCCATGTCAGTAGCAGGCTAACGAAGTGGCCCCTGGTGAAGAACTCCATCTCCTACAGGCTTTTCTTCTTCTGAGCAATTTAAGATTCTGGAGAACATGTTCTTTTCTACCTCATTTTCTAATGCTCTACCTACTATGGCTGCAAGAGTCTAGTGGGTGTGTATGTGTGTACTGATGGAAGTGTTCACTCACTGGTAACCAAAGTTAGGAAGGGAAAAAAAGCTTTTAAGCACATTCTGCCTTTATTTATTTATTTTTTTAAGATTGTTTATTTATTTATTTATTTGACACAGAGAGAGAGAACGCGCGAGCACAAGCAGGGGGAGCAGCAGAGGGAGAGAGAGAAGCAAGCTTCTGGCTGAGCAGGGAGTCCAATGCTGGACTTAATCCCAGGACCCTGGGATCATGACCTGAGCTGAAGGCAGATGCTTAACGTACTGAGCCACGCAGGTGCCCCAAGCACATTCTGCCTTTAAATTTAACCCCTATATTAATTTTTTTTCTCATCTCCCCAGTGAAGAATAAAGATGGGCAAGAGAATTAACATTTAACTAAAGGACTTCTGTGATTTTTATGAATGTTGAAGGGTTCTTTGGAGTTTTATCAATTTATTTATTTCCTAAAATAGAAACTATTTGGGATTATAGCACTGTTCTATGGAATACTTAAGTCAGTGGCTTTAGTATGACGTGTGAGCTTTTTACCTTAGAATCCTTCTTAGCATAAATTGAAACCTACTTATTTGTACATTTCTTTTTTTTTTTAAAGTACAACAGGATTTTCAGCACTTTGAAAGACATCTCAATTTATGAAATTGAGAATTACATTATTTTGGAATTTTAAAGAAATGTAATGATCATATATAATTACATGATTTTCAAAATATGGTCCATGGAACTCAAGGAATTATTTGATGTAGAGCCATCTTCAACAGGTTGTATTGGAAGGTGAGGACTACTCAGTATATAGGATTGGGCTCTAAAATCCCCAACCCTACTCCACTGCCCTTCTCCATCATTCCTGTTTCTATAAGAGAAGCTCCATTATTATTATTTTTAATATACATGCTGAAATTATGCATAAGATATTGTCTGACAAGAGGCTTCTACTGCTGAAAAGTGAAAACCATGAAATGAAACAGATTCACTCTTTAGACGAGGAAAACAGGTGACAAGAAGAGGAAGTGATTGGCCAAGTTCACATCTTGAATGAATAACAAAACCATCCTGGATTTCAGATTCTTATTCTTTTAATTTTATGATTTATCCTATAGTTTAGAGATTGAGACTTAGATGTTCCTATGCAAAATGATTAATCTAGAAAGAGTAAAACAAGAAGACTGTGTTCATCATGTGTAAACATTTAATTTTAACTAGAAACATGTTTACAATTCGAGGATGCCAACTTTATTACAAATGGAATAATGGAGTTGTAAACAGGATACTATTTTCAGTCAATCTATTAACTAATCATTATTGCACAAAAATAAGAACTGGATATTTGGCATATCCATATCATTACTTTATGAAGTTCACATGTAAAGAATTATAAGGGTTTAAAATACATTTAGGAAATAGTGCTGATGTCAAAACTTTATGAGCTAAGTAAGTCAGTGCGTTTGTTATACCTGTCAAAATGCAATATCTGATTGTATTTTCATTTTAGTTTTAAAGGAAAACTAAATAAAATAGGAAGGAAAATACATATTCATAAATGTGTTGATGGTCTTAGAGATTTTCTAAATATTCAGTTTGGGAATAGTAGGATACTTCTCAATAAGGGAATATAATATTATAACATTTTAGAATTAATTCCACATATCTTTGGTATTTTTTCCTCCTCCCTACTATGTTTAAATGAAACCGTGATCTTTATTTCCCACTCTAAGCACAGAATATAAAGGTACATTTATGTTGGACCAAGTTAGTAGCAAGTTAAATGCCATTAGGTCTAAATTTCAAAATATAAGTGTCTTGAAATAACTCAGAGTCTAAATCCCAAATGCAATTCAGGAGAACTCCATGATATTTTATTGTTTTCCAATCTTTGATATTAATTATGAGATTATACTAATGAATCAGACTAGGACTATTAAGAAACTAGGCATTTTAAAAAAAGTTTTTATTTAAATTTCAGTTAGTTATCATACAGTGTAATATTAGTTTCAGAAGTACAATTTAGTGCTTCGGTGATCAGCACAAGTACACTCCTTAATCCCTATCACCCCCCACCCACTTTCCCTCTGGTGAGCATCAGTTTGTTCTCCAGAGTTAAGAATCTGTTTCTTGGTTTGCCTCTCTCTCTCTCTCTTCTTTCCCTATGCTCATTCGTTTTTTTTCTTAATTTCACATATGAGTGAAATCATATGGTATTTGTCTTTCTCTGACTTACTTCACTTCGCACAATATTCTCTAGCTCCATCCATGTTGTTGCAAATGGCAAGATTTTATTATTTTTTTATGGATAAATAATATTACATTGTATATATAACCACATCTTTATCCATTCGTCAGGCAATGGCCATTTGGGCTCTTTGCATAATTTGGCTACTGTAGACAATGGTGCTATAAACATCATGGTTCATGTATCTCTTCAAATTAGTATTTTTGTATTCTTGGGTAAATACCTAGTAGTGCAATTGCCTCTTTGTCGGGTAGTTCTATTTTTAAGTTTTTGAGGAACCTCCACACTGTTCTCCAGAGTGGCTGCAACAGTTTGCATTCCTAACGACAGTGCAAGAGGGTTCCCCTTTCTCCACATCCTTGAAGTAGGGTTAGAGGGAACATACCTCACATAACAAAGGCCATATAGGAAATGCCCACAGCTAATATCATCCTCAGTGGGGAAAGACTGAGAGCTTTTCCTCTACAGTCAGGAACAAGACAAGGACATCCACTCTCACCACCGTTATTTAACATAGTTCTGGAAGTCTTAGCCACAGCAATCAGACAACAAAGGAAACAAAAGGCATCCAAATTGGCAAAGAAGAAGTCAAACTTTCACTCTTTGCAGATGACATGATGCTTTATATAGAAAACTTGTAAGACTCCACCAAAAAACTGCTAGAGCTGATACACGAATTCAGTAGAGTTGCAGGATACAAAATCAAAGTACAGAAATCCATTGCATTTCTATACATCAGTAATGAAGCAGCAGGAAGAGAAATTAAGGGAGGCATCACAGTTCCAGACTTCAAGTTATACTGCACAGCTGTAGCAATAAAAACAATATGGTACTGGTGCAAAAACAGACACATAGATCAATGGAACAGAATAGAACACTCAGAAATGAACCCACAACTATATGGTCAATTAATCTTCGACAAAGCAGAAAAGAATATCCAATGGGGGGGGGGCACAGTCTCTTCAACAAATAGTGTTGGGAAAACTGGACAGCAACATGCAAAAAGAATGAAACTGGACCACTTTCTTACACCATACACAAAAATAAATTCAAAATGGATTAAGACCTAAATGTGAGACTTGAAACCATAAAAGTCCTAGAGGAGAACACAGGAAGTAATCTCTTTGACATTGGCTATAGCAACTTCTTACTAGCTATGTCTCCTGAGGCAAGGGAAAGAAAACCAAAAATAAACTACTGGGGCCTCATCAAGATAAAAAGCTTCTGCACAGTGAAGTAAACTATCACCAGAAGTAAAAGGCAACCTATGGAATGGGAGAAGATCTATGCAAATGACATATCTGATAAAGGGTTAATATCCAAAATATATAAAGAACTTATAAAACCCAACATCCAAAAAATGAATAATCCAATTAAAAAATGGGAAGACATGAACAGACATTTCTCCAAAGAAGACATCCAGATAGCCAACAGATACATGAAAAGATGCTCAACATCACTCAGCATTAGGGAAATACAAATCAAAACTATAATAAGATATTACCTCACACCTGTCAGAGTGGCTAATATCAATGATACATGAAGCTAGGCTTTTATCTTCAAACTAAAAACAACAAAAAATTACAGCAGTTATAAATTTGGCACTTAAAGATATTTAATTGGACATTTAACATATTTAGGTAATATTATTAATGGGTGTGTTTTAACTAATTGATGAAAATTAATATTTTATTACAGAAATCTTAGATACAAGGTGTGAAATGATTTCAAGTCTGCCTGTTATTGCTGAGTAAGGAAAATACACATACCAAAACCAACCCCTAAGACTATGAAGAACTTAACACTAGATAACTATTAAGTTTGAAAATTATGCTAGAAAAGAAGTGATAAAGATATTAAACTCTTATAAACCAAGTTTTAGCTATAACTCCAGGCTTACAACTAAGTTTATTCAAAAATAAAAGTGTGTGATGGTTTCTTTGAAAATAACTCACGGTTTGCTGACACCAAATTAGGGAGAGTTCCCATTTTATACATTCTCAGAACATGGCATATGTTTCTCATATTATGTTTATCACAATTTCAATTAACTGACTGAATAATTGCCTATCATATTAGACTGACTTTATGGCCCCTAATGTACGGAACTTTGCCTGTCTTCTGCAACATTTGGTTTGATTATGTCTTAATTTTCATGGCTGGTTTTTGAATGAACTTCCTCAACTGTTTTGCTCAGAAAAGAGAGAATTTAGTTTGCAGATCTTAATATTCAAAACATTGTAT